TCAACAATATTTTGGTCAAAATCGAAGGGAGTCAGGTAAAGCCTTTTAATTCAGGCTGGAGACGCTTCACATAGAAATTCAAAGTTTTCATCGTGATTTACTCATCAAGAGAGCATAAAATGCGTGGTAATCGAGCGTTGTCCATAAGAACAAGTCTAAATTGGCCTTAAAGTAGCAGTGGTAGTTTTGAGAATGGTCTGTGAGGGAGTAATAGGCAACTCATCTTACTTCGGTGTGTGGCAAGTTCACCAATCATACAGCCTTCCAGTCATTTTCCAGTCACCCAGTCACAATCCAGTCAATTTCCCGTCAACCAATCATGTTCCAATCTCTCCAGTCAACCAGTCATTTTCCCAATCAGCCAATCCCTGTCCAATCATCTCCAGTCACCACCAGTCATTTGATTGGCAATCGGTGTACACATTTTTGGGGAGTTGCGGTCCCCTCGGGGGGGGGGCTATTGGCTCTCCAAGGAAGCGGTGCGGGGGGCTCTACTAGGCCTGGAGAGGGGGGGGGGTCGCTCTCCGCCCTCATCCGTTCAGCTCACGTCTCTCCTTTACCTCATTCATAATTCCGCGGAGATCCCCTTCATTTCCATCCAGGCCATCAGGACTCTGTCGTCATTACTCCCGCAAAGTCTGGGCTGGGGGCGGGGCGCGGAGAGTGGCCCGCGAGGTCGCCCACCACGGAGTCAGAGTCACACCCGAGGGTCGCGGGGTGGGGCGGGGGGGTCACCGTCTCGCGGGGAGAGCCCGCGACACGACGGACAACCACAAGCAGGGAGAGAGAGCGAGGGGGGGGGCTGCTGGAGGAAGCACTTGTTGAATGCAAAGCAAGTGGAGGCCTTCCTCTTTTACAGCTATCCGCGGCCTCCGCGGCCCTCCTTTACAGCGCATTGAGAGGAGGGAGATCGACGAGTTATTCCAGGGAGCCCGCGGGAGACGGAGGTCGGCGGATGCACCGGAAAAGGAAAAGAGCAGGATGCGTGCGGTACCGACTCAGTTAGGCTCGCCGAGAGGCGTGGAAGACGTCCAGAGACAAACAAAATAGTGAGGTGGGGGAACGGACTTTGCCCTCTGGTAGAGACAGTCTTGGGGGCTGTCCAAAAACGCTGGTTACACTCGTTGTTCGTACTGTATGTGCGATGTGCGTGCGCCTCTAGGGCGACATATCGTTTCGGGGGGTGGGTATCCGATCCGGCTCCGCGGGCGGAGTGGTCCAGCTCAGTCTTTGGATCCTTGGACGGGGACGGGGCGGAGACGGGCATATGGGGAGGAGACCCCCGGGCCGCCGCCGCCGCTGCTGCTGCTGCTCTGCGTCTCGTCGGCGTCCCCGGCGGTTAGATGTAACCCTAGCGCCAACCCCCATCCCCCTTCCCTCCGGCTACACACACACACACGCCACCCGGCCGCGCATATCAACCCGAGACCTGCCGTCCTTGTAAAGATTTATGACAGCAAACGAGACGCCGCCGCCGAGACGCCCATACAGTGCAGGCCCCAGCCCGCCCAC